GCAAATTTACTGTAAATGTTTTAAATAATTTCAGCTTTATATCCATCATAAAAATATATTTGTAGATTTTATACTTGATTGCATTTGGAACAGTGCAAAAGTTTTAAACCAACCTTGTTTTTTTGTTGTTTTTTTTGTACAGCTGCTGACAAAAGGGATGGAATATCCACTCTGAAAAGATGTTCTTTCAATTTAATTTTGTTTCATATGATTCCATGATGTCTTTGCCAGAAGGTTATATTTTGGTTTTAAAGGCTTTCTTGTGTTTTCCATCAGGGTTCAGAAATGTTTGGATCYACAGATGCAGTCATAACCTGAGAACTGCCACAAGATGGCAGCAGATCCCTCAGATGATCAGAGGGAAGTTTTACCTTCAGTGACTCTGCCAGACACTTCCTGTCAGCTCAAATGAAATTCATTTTTCTCTAGTTTTCTGATGTACATGACGAATTTTTGCCTATTTTTCAAACATTTAACAGAATCAGCTCAAAGACGCATAAAATAGAAACAAGCTGATGCAAAAAGCAGTCACAACATGGCTAAAAAAAGATGCAAATTTTGTAAATTGGAGTTCTTTTAAAACAGGAACTTGGTCTTGATCACAGAACACTAAAGATCTGAACTATCCCTTTAAGGCACTCATTTATTTTCACCGTCCCTGCAGGTCATTTTAGTTCATGTTTTCATTGCTTTAGTTCGTGTTTTTGATCTTGGCAGTGATTGAACTCAGATTTATTTCCACTTTAAGTGGCTTTATTTTGCAACACGACTGTGTCAGACAGAAAAGGGTGGGATTTTTATTTATTATTTTTTTTTTTTTCAGAGGTAGCTATCACATGTCACCACTGGGGCCATGCGGCTCTTTACAGTGGGGAAGTTGAGGCACTTCCTCCTTCTTATCTGAGCTGGTTCTGAAACCAGTCRCTGACAGCCGTGTCTATGGGGAACCAGGACCTCCTCTGGGTTCGTTTTGACTGACTTTTCAGCTGGTTTACATTACAAAGCCTCGGCTCATGTCACCAGAGGGGAGACAAACAGCCAGTTCTCGTGCGTAAAAAGGTGGGATCAGAGTGCAGCTGTTTGTGCCACAATGGCTGCGACGTAGCGCAACTTTTTCTTTCTTTCTGTTTGGGGGGATCGGATCGACGGGATTCTGACTTTTCCAGCTGAGAAGAAGGCAACATGAAGAAGCAGTTTAATCGCATGAGGCAGCTCGCCAACCAGACTGTTGGAAGGTGGGTGTCTAAACTTGTGAAAGTGGTAGTTTGAATCTTTTGTTGCCAGCTGTCTTCTTCTCGTTGTTGTGGGCGGTGTCGGAAGGGCTTAGAAAAAAAAAAAGTTTAATTAAGTTTTAGGAAAACAAGTTTACACACTAACCCAAACATAGAAACAGACTGAAAGAGTCAGTCTGAAAACTGGTGGGCTTTTAATCTGAAATCTACACTCAAAATAATCTAGTTTTCATACTGCCAGGAATATAGTCACCAGTTTGGATTCTAAAACACAATCTTCTGACCTACATGGAGGCACTGATTGTCTGTTTGTGACACCAGAATCAGCAGGCCTTTAGTCCAAACCTCACCCAATTACACTGCCTGAAAGTGGTGATCCAAGATGCTTTTATTTAGTTTTTTTATTCTCAGCAGCTAAGAGATGAGCTCATCCCACCAGACCTGGCTCAAGGCAGGTAGCAGGGTAGCRTACTGGGCCCATTGCTTTTCCTATTATACATAAATGACCTTCCAAAAATATTGGAAGAATTCAAATATTTTATTGTATGCTGATGTTACTGTTCTTTTTTTGTCTGATTTCAATATTGAATCTATTAATAGTCAGTTACAAGCAGATCTTCAGACATTTCGTGGTTGGCTTCAAGATAATCTTTTGTCAGTTAATGTTAAAAAAACTGTGTGCATGTATTTTTCCTCACCCAGGAGACATTTCAATATAACAAATCAACTCACTTTTTTAAACAAACCCCTTGATATTGTCACTGCCTACAAATATCTTGGAATTACTTTGGATTCTCATTTGACTTATCGTGATCATGTACAAGTCTTAAMCACTAAGTTGAAACAGAAATTATACGTTTATTCAAAAATTAGATCCAATCTGACATCTTCTGTTTCAAATATCTGTCTTCATACCATTATACTCTCAACCATGTCGTACTGTTTACCTGTTTGGTCTCTTACAACAAATGAAATCTTAGAACCCATAGTTAGGCTCTACAACAGGGCCTACAAAATTTATAAAAAACTTCCTGGTTGGACTCATCACTGTACAGTTCTTTCATTGTCTGATGCCTTGACTTTTCAGAATTATGTTTTGTATAGTGGTATTAATTTATATTTTCAGATCTTCCAAGGTGCCAATTATGGAACTCTCTGTGCATTGTTGCCCAAATCAAACTCTGGAAGTGGTCATTCAACTAGATCTGTTACAAAAGGACAACTGATATTACCAACTTTTAAAAACTGTTACGGCCAGAGGTCTTTCTTCTATGTTTATACTAAAGCATGGAATGACAATCCTCAAAACATAAAGTCCATTTCAAAACCACAGCCCTTTAAGAAGAATCTTGTCTGCCAYCTGCTGGACACTTTTTGTTGTGCTCATATTTAGACGTCCTATTTTTCAAATGCTGCCTTCCTGAAATTTGGTATGCTTGTTTGTCTTTGTGTCTATGGTGTATAATGATGTGGTTTTGATGCTGTATTTCTGAGTGTTTTMTGTGCTGCAGAACAGGAACCTGCTGTAAAGCAGCAATTATGTTGAGTCAGGGTTGATTTTTAGTAATCTTTTCTTGTTGAATCAATAAAATCAAATTTATTATAAACATCATACCATTAAAGATAGAAGTGTGGTGTGATTATGTTACAATGGCCTGCCGTACACTGTTTAGCTTCTGTGCAGTCCTTTAAACCAGTTTCTTCAGAAATAATTAGAAAGTTGACATAAACACACTTCCTGATGCTTCCAGGAGATTAGACCCTCCTTTTCCTCTTTCTTCTTCTTCATCGTGGTCCCCCTTGGGACCTCTGTCAACTGCCACCAGTGACACCGTGCTTCCAGCACATTACTGTTAATCAGTGGACAGATCAGCTGGTRTCTCCAGAGCGTCTCTGCTGCAGGACTTTTTCTGGCTTTTTCTCAGATGTTTTTGCCTCATGTTGTGCAAGAGCAGAGCAAGGCACCCGCCCACACTGGATTATGAGTAGATGGAGTTTAACATGCCAGAAATGCTCAGGTGGCATTTGTACCAAACTTGAAAATAAACAGATCTGTTGATTTCCGCAACTGATTCAGGTCAAGTTGCACTTTTTATGCTGAATAAACCATAAATGATGGTTTTCAAAAGTGTGATTAGGACAAATAAATCAAATGCCACTGACTGAGTTATAATCAGACTGATTTTAACCAGATCAGGACAGCTTGTCTGGATTAGCAGCTCTCTGTTTGGCCCATGAAGGGCACGGCAGTGAGGGGTTTTGTGGAGTAAGCGTTTCCACTGTTGGTGGTGGCGACACGATGGAGGACTGGGGGGGGACACCACAGAAGAGTGGTTTTAGAGAAGAGGAAACCAGTTTGATCTGAACAAGAGGAAGCATCGTGAAGTCCGCAACGTTTACAAATCTGATCGCTCTGCTGCAATAATCTGAAAGGCATCTCGCTGAGATTTAAGCTACACTGAACATGAACCTCTCAGATCCTGGGCTCCAGCATGGCTTTGTCTTTTTATAGAACAACTGCAGCTCTGAGTGGACCTGTACGTTCAGCTCGACGGATCAATGCTAATTCACTATTGATAAGGATCAAAAGATTGCTCGTGTAGCTGTTTTTTTTTCCTTTTGAGGCAAGCCACTAAAGCCTGGTGGGTAATGTCATCATTTGGACCAGTGATTGTATTCTGACTGCAGAGGCCTGATTCAGCACAAAGCTATGATGTAAAGAATGTTTTAAGCCATCATTAATAGATGAGAGGGAACTATTTATTCTCAGTTTTTGTACTTTGTGTAAAATGATCCTAGTTTGACACTTTAGCATGAGCAGCAAAGGAATGCTATTCATTTTAAATAAAATTAATGATTGATGATGATAGTTGATTTATTTATTTACCTTTTTTTAGACAAGCAAATCCCATTGAGATCACAGGTCTGTTTTACAAGMGAGGCCTGGACATGAAGGCCCGGCCGGCCCGTGGCGTAGGCATTATAGGCAAATGCTCCTTCTATAGGGGCAACACAAATGGGGGACCAAAAATCCAACACTTTATTTTATATAATCAATTATAATTGATTTAATTTGTAGAATCATCACTGTTACTCAGGTTTATGAAGGTAGCTTGTTCTGTGGGTTTCTCAGCTGCTTTGTTACTACATGAGGTGTTATATGATGCAGAGGATATTTCCTGATAAAAGCATCTATGATGCAGTCAAGACAAACTACTGGTGCTCAGTGTGTAAATAAAAAACAAAATTATTGACAATGGATAGGGCTGCAACAACGAATCGATAAAATCGATAAAAATCGATTATTAAAAGCGTTGGCAATGAATTTCATTATCGATTCGTTGTGTCGCGCGATTTATGCGCCCCTCGCCATGTCGCGGAGCCGATTACGTTACCCACAGAGTGTTGTCAATGCTGGCTGACCTAAATAAAGTTTAGGAAGAATTAAAAAATTACCTGTAAAGATCTGCCCTCTGACTCTTGAGTGAAAAGTAGAGACTTCGAACTTTAAACCAGTTTTTAAATTGTGTTGTTAGGCCAAGTAGATCCGAAGATATGATAAAAAGTATATGCTACGGTTAATGTTTTAAAAGATGGTCTGATGCGAGCCGAGTCACGAGGAGGAAACGTGTGTGGGGGGCACATAAATCCGCCGTCTTTTTAGTCCTCCTCTCAAGCCAAAAGTATAAAAACCCTCCAGTTTTTTCTGACTGAGGCTCAAAGTTATTTGTTGAGCAGAAAAAGGTTCCAGATGAAGGAATAAAAAAACAAAGAAAAAAAAAAACAAAACATGAGCAGCAGGTTAGCCTCACC